TGCATTTATACAGCTTGTCGTTACCACCGCGACAATAAATGAACACACGTCTAATGCTACTTGCCAATAATCATAAAAAAATATTAACGTTAATATAATCCATAATTAAAGAAAAATATTTTTCAAACAAAGTAATTAAGTAAAAAAAAAAAACAAAATTTGTAACATCCTATACAACTACAATTGACTGATTCATACATCAGAGACTTTTTCATTCGTTGCCACAGCGTCGCATTACAAGCCTCTCCTTCTAACAGTATGTTTTGTCTCTTTTAAATTCATTCAAACAAGTCATATGCTTTGTGACCTTTACAAATGAACTTTACGTTTTACAGTTTTATACGTAAGGATGTTCTAAAATTCTTTGTTTTGGAAAATGTAATAACTCTGTAAATATTGATGTTTAAAGAATTTAAATATTTAATACAATTTTAAAAAGTTATCCTATATATGTATGTTAATTTATTGTCGCGATGGTAAAGACACGCTGTATATTTATGGACAATTTAGGAGAAAAGTTATTGGAATATTTAAATGATATAATTTGTCAAGTGAATCATAAAACCATATAAAAATAAATCAATTTACTAGTTGGAAAGCTGGGAACATAAAATTTTGCCAAATACCTTATATGCCGGTATGAACGAAAAATAAACATGTTAGTTAATTAGTTTTACCTATATCTTTGCTAGCGACGAACACTTGGTTTAAAGCTGACACGTCGTTAACAGAAACGGAGCTCACGCGTGGACATTTCCGTGCCATAATTTATCACAATTTTCGTCGCGGCTTATCTCAAGATAAATGTCTCAACGAACTTGTTTCGATTTATGATGTTGAAGCACCGAGTCAAACGACAATATACCGTTGGTATGCCGAGTTCCGACGCGGTCGTGTGTCGCTCAGCACAGTTTCTTCTGCAGGTCGACCAAGAACAGCGGTCACGCCTGAGAGCATCGCAGCTGTGCGAACTATTATATTAGATGACCGTCATGTGACATACGAGCAGAGTCGGGCTGTTATCGGTATCGGAATGACTGCTATTTAGTCGATATTACATAATCTGATGAACTGATGCAGCCATCCTCTGTACAGTCCTGACCTGAGCCCAAACGATTTCTTTACATTCCCTAGAATGAATGATTTATTACGCGGTCAACGGTTTAAAGACCCCGAAGCAGCTGTGGAAGCGTACAAATCAGCCATTTTGTTAACATCAACTTCAGACTGGAATTACTGTTAAGTCGAACGGAGAATACTTCGAAAAACAATAAAATACAATTTAGCTATACCGTGCATGTAGTTTTTTTTACCAATGATTTCAGTGTGCATAATATTGCACCTTTATGGACAAATCGTTACTAAACGATAATATATTTTGCACTGGACCTTAAATAAAAATAATAGTGAAGTAAGTAAAAGGTATGGATGTCAATTTTTGAATGCCAATTCAAAAAGTTTTATTCTGATAAAACATGATTATATTTAGTTACGTTATTTATATGGGGATTCTGTAATTAATCGTAATCAAATTACTATAAAATTATCATATTAACAAGGTTTTATAAAAAAATAACTTTCTAAATTTAATGTTATAGTGTAAACAAATATCCATCATTGTCCTTAAAAGATGGCTCTAAGCATCTTGATTTCTTAAACTGTATTGCAAAAAAGCGGTGTACTTTTTTATTTAAGTACCTGTGTGTAATATATTTTCGTTTAGTAACGGTTTGATTTTAAAGCATACGAAATAACGATATACTTTTGCGTTTCGTCTAGTGAAAGGTCACTTTATTAAAAGGTGACATCTGCAACATCTGTTCCAAATGTCCATCGCATATCAAATAACACCAGCAGCGTAATTGCAATTATCATTACATAGTATAAAACAAAGTCGTCCCGTTGTCTGTCTGTCCCTGTCTGCTTAGATCTTTAAAACTTGATACGGTTTTTTTTACTAGTGATTCAGGAGGAATGGATATATGTATAATACATGCATAATATAGTAGACAAACGTAGTAGAATATATTTAGTATCAGCATTGCACCCGTGCGAAGCCGGGGCGGGTCGCTAATCTTATATAAAAAAATAATACCATCAGCTTTAAAATGAATGAAGTTATGGTGTTCCGACAAAAAAAAAACACCTTTGGTAAATTAGATATAGAGATATTTGTTAGCCTCATGTTGTTTTATCCTATTCTACCTCCCGCCGGATAATACTACACCCACAGTTAGTGCAACAACAAATACACTAGTTCGCCCTCGCCTCCGAGCACGGTGAGACCAACACAACGCGTACACAAAATACACCCGCGTTCCGGGGCGGTTCTCACCGCTCCCAGCCACCGATTAGCTAATCGCACAGTCGACGGCCATCGGGGTATCGATCTAAACCGCGACCACGATGGCCCTTAGATGACACACCATACTTAAACGCACGCATGAGCACATGCGTGGCCCTACCCACAGCGGAGGGCCCAAACCCGTGGGTTCTGGCTAGCCCACCGGTTCTGCGTCAGATGAAGCTTTAATAGCCTCGGGACTGAAAGCACAAACATCAATTAATACAAGATACTATTCTACACTACCGAGGGAACAAGGAGAATAAATGAAATCACAGATTTTAGAAATATGCTTATTAAAGTGACAACATTTAATAATGTCATAAAACAGAAAGTACCGATGGTCATAAATCTTTAAGAACTGCATATTACAACAATATAATTAGCACAGGCAAGAAAGCTTCCCTTTGCAACTTACACGTAAGTAAACTTACTCTACTTACTGCTAACGCCGTATAATGAATGTAAATAGAAATTGTCATTTATAATTGGTGTTTATAAAGGTGGGAGGGAGATTCGAAATTTTGAAGCATTATAATTTGTATTGTATGCGTACAATAACAATATTATTTTTGCTGACAGTTTCTACTTATTCAAAGAATATAAATGCTTATTTCATTTTTAATAACATTAATATGTATATGATAAAAAACATTTATTATTAAAATTATATGTATGCAAATGTAATTTTAACTTTCATTAACACACTCGTTTACATTTACCCATAATATAAATTGAACATTTTATGTAATAATATGATGTAAACTTATATAAAAATTTTAATTTTTATATATATTTTTTAATTATATTAAATTTTAAGAAAAAATATATTTTATGCACTTATAAGTGAAATAAAATAGAAAGAAAACATCTCTGTTTAAAGGTGAAATGTGATAAAAAGTGGGATGACATTAAAAGTGTAAATCATTAAATTAACTTACTGTTTAAACATTTAGTTTATATTTGAGAATTTTCAGTCACCGACCAAGCACATCGTAAAAAATAAATTGAAACCAAATACAATAGCAGTTAATTTTTAATTTTTTCAAGGATTACTTGGAATTGGCGTTGACTTTAATAACTATTTTTCAGACCAATTATAACATTCGACAAATTATAAGCACATAAAGTAAACAGCTTTACTGTAAGGACACTTTACCTCCGCGAGAACTTTCAAAATTTGTATAAGATAAAAATTATCAGTAATGACAAACTATGACATTATAACTGCGTTTTTGGCACTTTATTATTTCGCATCGATATTTCAAACAGATATTGTTATGGTCACTATTATAACAAACAAAAAGGTGTCCTACACCACAAGTTAATATATTAAATGCTGTTAAACAATTTTGTTTTTTTCTTCACTTTTAAATATTCACATCACATTGAATCCACTGTTGCATCATGTACCTATTACAAATACATACATTTGTAAATTATGACGAGTCATTTCAAAGTAGTTAACACTTTTTTATTCTCAAAATAAAATTTGCTGTTTAATAATCTGCTGTTTAATAATAATAATAATATTTTATCATGTTTTATATTTAATGCACTGTGGAAAAAGGCAAAACGTTCAAGGCACTTAAGTTTATATTTTTTATTTTTTTTATAAGATTGTACATTCCACTTAGCATGTTGGAATTATTTAGACAAAAAAAAATAGTTTTCGCGAAACAATATTAAACATATAGATTAATTTGATGAAATAATTATAATTTCTTTTCCACTGATAATTTTAATAATGTCTCAAGAGATTATTTAAGGCAATAAAATACGAATTAAAGAGCATTGCAAAATTTCACGTGAACTACGATAATATCGAAACCAAAATTTTGTAAATAAATCAGTATCTAAAATAAACTGTATCTCAGATTATACGGACGGCTAAACTGCGATAAAATCACAAAAATTTCTCCAAAACTTAATTTTAGTATAAAGTGTGCATATAAAATTCTGTATCGATCACTAAAATACTTTATGCGTCAAACTTATATGAGCCTCTGAAATTTCGACAGGAAAAAGTATCGCCGTGTTGTTCGCGCCGCAGTCGTAAATAGTTTTCTATCTCGCTATCATCATTACACGATAAGCGATAGCGAACATCAAGTTATTGTTTTGTGGAAAATGCTTTTTGTGTCTACCTACATAGAAAACTTATTTGCTGTAAGCACAGAAAGGGGAGTAATGTCTTACAAGCTCCGTATTAAAAGAAGAAAACAACAGTTTTTTCTCAATTCATACCTGAATGCTTTATTAGTTAAGATTCTAGTAGATTAGTTAGTATTCAGTACTTGTTTTCGGACTTTGGTGAGATGCATATTTTATGGTTAGAGCAAATAAGTTTTCTGACTATACGTCAGGCAGTTTTAATGAGCGATGACACATAAGTTTTACGCGGACCTGTACACGTCAAATTTCAGCTCTGAGTATTCTTAAAGTTGCAAGCTATTCGATTTTAGGATAAATAGTATATAGGTAAATATGCATCAATAATGTATTAAGCAATAATATGTATATTATAAATAAGTAGATTGAGAAAATTCGTGTACTTATAGTATTGAATAAACTAACATAGAAAATTGAAGTAATTAAAAAAGAATCATATCGTTTTTATTCCCGATATCCGGGAAAATCACAAGTCGTGATTTTAGTAAAGACCCAATAGTCCTAGCAAACATTTCTTGTAGTGGCCTGAGCAATCGCCCTGTAAAGAGAAAAAATATGTCAAATTACTTTTTTATTTCACTAAATTTTAACCGATGGTACAAACACATTCCATGCTCTTTCAACTAATTTGTTTAAAACATAGCATGACTATAGAAAAATTGATTTAAAATATTAACTTTACACTTAAACTAAGGTATTAAGTTCGCTTTGAGAGCTTTTTTTCGCTTCCATTCGTCGTAAGTAATCATTGCATTCTGAATAGATTTAAAGAAGCAGTCTCAGCTGTTGCACGAATGGGCAGGCTCGTCCGGGTAAGCACCACGACCTCACAGAAGACCGGCGTAAAGTGGAAGTATAATACTTTCGCGTTTCGTCTCGTGAGTGAGGTGGCCGGAGCCCAATTTTCAAAAGGTTGTCAACGCATCTGGAACCCTCGGGTGTAGCAGATGTCCATGGGCGGCGGTATTCACATAACATCAGGTGAACAGTATGCTCGTTTGGCAACTTTTCAAATAAAAAAAAAAAACTATAAATATATTAGCCACTAATTTGATTTGAAAATATTGATAATTTATACTGGGCAATACAAAAACACCCACTTTGTTTGTTATTTCGTATGTACACCATTATTTTCATATGTATCAGCAATATGTATTTATAATCAAACGAGCTATGTAAATATTCAACACATAAGATATGGTTGTACTTTGAACGTATAAATAAATAAGTAGGCCGCTTGGAACAATGACAATCGGCCCACCTCGATCCAGCTCTGCAGCGTCTCCCCGTACTTGGAGTGGAACATGTTGGATATGTCGCCGAGGTCCACCTCGCAGCGGGTGACCATGATGCGGATCAGCTGCCGGTCGTTGGTGCCCAGGCCCTTCATGGACTTGTGGAGACGCTCCGCGAAGAACAGCGGCTTGTTGCGCACCACTTTCACTGCGGACGGGGATATCCTTATCCTTACTAATATTAAAAAGGCGAAACTTTGTATGTACGGATGGATGGATGTTTGTTACTCTTTCACGCAAATATTATACAATAATTACATAATTTAATTATAATTATTAATGAACATGACATATAAGACATAATAAGACAGATATAAATTTTAAAGTTAGTCAGCCGTTTAGCTCAGTGGCTAGAGCGTCTAGCGTCTAGAGCCGCGAATGCCGAAGACGTGGGCTCGATTCCCACAGCGGCGACAATGTTTTCGTACTTTTTCTACATGTTTGAAAGACAGATATAGATAAAATATGTATATAAATTATAGCGTATCTGTCTTTCTGTCTGAATCTTACGCCTTCAGCCTATTCTATGCAGACGTATAGTATTCTATTCTGGTGAGCGATGCGGGCCGGAGAGCAATTTTCAAAAGGCCACGTCAAACGCATCTGCAACCGTCGGGCGTAGCGGATGCCCACGGGCGGCGGTATTCACTTGACATCAGGCGAACCGCCTATGCTAGCTTGGCTTAACTTTACACACACACACACACACACGCACGCGCACACACACACACACACACACGCACGCACGCACGCACGCACGCACGCACGCACGCACGCACGCACGCACGCACGCACACACACACACACACACACACACACACACACACACGCGCGCGCGCACGCGCGCGCGCGCGCGCACGCACGCACGCACGCACACACACACACAAAATGCCCACCTATCGCGCGGAGCGCCTTCTCCAGGTCGCCGGAGAACTCGGCCTTGATCGCGTCGTCGATGTCGTGGCCGGTGAGGAAGTGGTACTCCTGGAAGATGGCCGCCAGCTGCGGGAACGAGCGGGAGCAGAGCACCGCGTTGAACACCGACTCGTCGGTGCCCAGGCGCAGCTCGCCTGCGGATGGGGACACAATTATCACACTGGACCAGTAATTCCCAAAGTGGTCTATATCCACCCCTGGGTCTATGACAACCTGCAAAAATTTGGGGGTCCATGAAATGAAAATGGGGGTCCACGATAGTGGATCTCAACACATATACTGATAGTACCTATTTACTTACATCATATCATCTTATAATATCAAAACATATACATTATTTATAAAAGTACCTATGAAGTTATTATTACGTTATTACCTATTTTATGTTTATTTAATGTTACGTAAATTTTGACATAACACATACAAAATTTTATTTTGAGTAGTTTTAATTTAAATTCAATTAATAAATGTATAAATTAACGTGTGTTTTTACTTTAAGTTTTTAACACTAAACTTCACAACGGTTAGAAATTTACAGGAAATCAATATCAGGTAAGTAGGGGGTCTACCCAACACGGAAAAACATGACAAGGGGTCTACGACACAAAAAAGTTTGGGGACCTCTGCACTAGACACATCGGTAACTCCGTGGCGACGTCGCCAAGGTGTTGGCTCAGGTGTCGGGGGTCGTGGGTTCGATTCCCACACGGGGAAACTATTTGTGCGACCCACAGGTAGTTGTTTCGCATCTGGGTGTTTGTCCACGTGAAATTTATGTATGTAAAACGTCCTTACAACACAGGATAGTGTTGTCCTAAAGAAAGGGCAATGTTTAAAAAAACAAAAAAGACACTGCAAAGTTTCATTGACGACCCGAACGGCGCAGTGGGTAGTGTACCCGCGCCAGAGGGTTTGGGTTCGATCCGCACTACTGGAAAAATATTGTGTGATGAACATAATTTTTTTCTAATGTCTTGGTGTTTATATATGTATAATATTTATTTAGTTACAAAAGAAAATTATGTTTAAGTATGTTTATCAGTTATCTTGTACCCATAGTACAAGCGTTGCTTAGTTTGGGACTAGAGAACGTTGTGTAAAAATGTGTCCTAAATTATTAATTTATTATTTATTTATTTATTGAAATTGCACGTGCGTTGTTAAAAAAAAATATATAACTCTTTTTAAGAGGTCCCTTTTTTACTGTGACTCCGCTGTCTGTCTGTCACCAAGCTTTATCTCATGAACCGTGATATTTAGATAGCACGTGTTAAGTCAGCACTTGAAATTAACAATGTTTCACTCTGGTTGCTCGAGTATATTGAATTAAAAGCGAGTGCCCGGACAATGAGCTATCACGGCTCTTAAAACGTATCTCTCTATCGTATGTATCTAATCTCTGGACTCAAAAGGAAACATTAAATATCGTAGAATAAAATAGTGGTTAAAGCGTCTGTGCGCGATTCCGGAAGACTTGGGTTCGATTCCCGTAGCGGAGAAAATTTTTGGTCTAGTTTTTTTGTACGAAATTGAATGCATTTTAAATCTTAACAATATTTATTATTGCTATGCCCTAACAGGGTCCACAATGATTCTTAATTTAAAGTATTACACCCCTGCATTGAAGAATGGAGTCGGGAAAAGTACTATGACATAACAATAACATTTTATTACAATCGCAGCCTCTTTTAAACCAATACAAAGTGATTTGTATTGTTAAATAGTAATCATTCAAGTATACTGTATACGTGAAAAGGTGTTAAGGTTGTAATTAATAAATTGTTCAGTTAATTAAACAACAATTTAAAGACTTACCTGCTTGCAACAAGCTCCTCGCATCTTCTCTAGCTTTCTCTTGATCTACATGGAAGTCCTCAGACCTATTGCCCTGAAATTAGATAAATATACATTTTAAAACAAAGTAATAAAGAACGTTTTACCAGTCCATAGCTGTTACAACACGTAACTAATAATTATAGGTCGAAATTCTATGGGTCGGTACAGGCGCGAAACAAAAAAAAAACTTACAAAACCTACTATTCCTTTATATAAAAATTGAACGATTTGACGGTACCTACTGAAAACGACGCATTCAAAATTATACCTTATAATTGCACGTTTCAAAGCTTTATTTAACTTGCGCTTCGCTTTGTGTGAACTGCTTATTTGGTCGTTACATTAGAAAATATCGTGACTATACATCACGCAGCCACATCCGCTTGCTTTATAAAAAGCCAAGTGACCTTTGTTTGATTTTATATGATAAGGAGACTTATTTATGAATAAAGTGACAGCAAATCGTTTCAATTATTACATCTTTATATTTTATAATATATATCTTCTTTATATACAGCGTGTCGTTACCACCGCGACAATAAATGAACACACATATAGAGGATAACTTTTTAAAATTTAATTAAACATTTTCATTCTTTAAACATCAATATTTACAGAGTTATAAAATTTTCCAAAACAAACAATTTTAGAACACCCTTACGTATAAAACTGTAACGTAACGTTCATTTGAAAAGGTCACAAAGCATATGAATAGGTTGAATGAATTTAAAAGAGACAAAACATACTGTTAGAAGGAGAGGCTTCTAATGCGACGCTGTGGCGCGAGTTATATAGGCTGTTACAAATTTTGTTTCTTTTTTACTTAATTAGTTTGTTTGAAAAATATTTTTTTTTAATTATGGATTTTGTTTAACGTTAATATTTTTTTTATGATTATTGGCAAGTAGCGTTAGACGTCTGTTCATTTATTGTCGCGATGGTAACGACACGCTGTATATCTTTATATAGTATCATTCTAGTGTAAATGTGTAGGTCACTGCACTCCTAAACGGCTGGACCGATATTAATAAAAAAATTGTCTTCAAGTTGATTCGAGAATGAATGAATGAATGAATGAATATACTTTTATTGCACACAAGGAAATACAAGGAAGAAGATACCGGAAACATAGTGTACAAACAGGCGGCCTTATTGCTAAATTAGCAATTTCTTCCAGGCAACCTTAGGGTATAAGGATATAGATAATAAAGTTGCGGGATAATGGTGCAAAAATAATAAATAATTACATTAATACATATGTAGAAAATTAAAAGCATCAAATATAATAGGGTACGAGAATGGTTAAGATTCACAATTTTTTTTTTAGTCATCGGATTTAAGTCGTGTGTACAGGACAACGTCTGCCCGGTCCGCTAGTGTAAAATATAATAATGAAATTGTTACTTCTGAGAATATTTCGCATAATAATTTATAATAAAAGGTTCAATAGATACAACGTGAAAATCGATAACACAAGTGTGCCTTCGGTGGTGTATGTCTAAGCATTTGTATACCAGAAATGGTTGAATATGATGGAAGTGTATAATATTTTTCTCAACATCTTTTATACTATATTAAAACAAATAAACAAATTAAAAAATATTTGAATAACACTGCTTCAATCGTTGGTGACAGATTAAAAACACCGGCCGTCATTGGCTTAGCCAATTCTATTTAAAAAAAAAACAACCCGCTTACTAACTTCGAACTCGCTCGACCCGCCGAGAAAGAAAACATCTAGAACAACAACGACAATTAAAAAAAGAACTCGACTCACCATACACAGTGACGTCATAAGCCGCTTGAAGTTACCCGATGTGTCACCGCGCAGGTCGTCCTCCAACAGGGTTCCGTACACTGGAAAGTTCGTTTGAAATTCATAACGTGCGTGAATCGTTCCAAACAGGGATCATGTGGTTCGAGCGACGATGACGTCATCCGTACTCATGACGGCCGCGGTGAAATCTAGTCGTTTCGAAGCGATGTATGCTTTATATTACTTTTATAGTTTGTAGTACAATATGAGTTTTCCTCGACTAAAGTAAGTCCGAAAATATCGCAGAGCAGTTTAAATGCTTTGTTGAAATATTTTAATTTTTTATTGTGCGAATTTTTGCACAGAGAAAATTTGTAGAAAAAATGTACGGAAATATGTATATAATAATTCAAGATATAACAGTTGTTTAAAAATATGGAGCATTCGGATAGATACACGATATTTATTCGAGTGCTTATAAATTATTAAAAATTAAATTATTTTAAATTCAATAAAGCATGTAGCTTTATTGAATTTAAAAAAAAAACCTATGGCCTGTAAACAATATTTTCACTTAATTTCCTGAAAGTATTATATTTTTATAATTTAGAAAAAAAAATACTATATTTTCTTCAAAAAAAAAGTGGCAACCCTATCGGGGGAAATTGCTAGATACCAAAACATGTTAATAAAAAAAATATAATAAAATTTACGGAGATAGACTTCTGAGTTCGTATTACTTAACACCATTATTTAAACGGTATCATGGAAAACTCACTCGAAATCATTCCCAGCTTTGCATTTTTTAAAACCCATAATCTATCGAGTTACGGTTAATTGAAGATAATGAACTATTGACCCACTAGAACGGAAGAACACAGGATCGCAACAAAGGTTATTATTTAAAGCAAGCTCGCTTTGAAAGGGAAGTGATTCATTAGTCAAGTTGATTCACGTTATGTGTACTTTTTTGTAAACGTGACTACGTCATACACAACTCATGCGTTTATAGTTCATTAAATCATTACGTCATTTATTTACGAGATAAACGACACAAAGAAAGGTACAAGTTTGACCCTCAAGGCTTAAGTCATGAAGAACTGAAAACATTATAGCTAGAAATATTTTTAAAAACATTATAGCTAGAAATATACTTTGAGTAATCAACGTAAGCCCTACGAGCTGTAAACTTAGTAGTACTAATAAAAATACAAACGCTTATATTTATACCTAATAATAAAAATGGATATTCTTAGTTTTTGGTGTATTTGCTTATGTCTTGCACTTTTGTCAGTTTCATCTCATTTTCTCTCTTCTAGACCAGTGGTATCGGTCGACCGAAACGCGTTCCTAGACTTCTCTAGTATTTTTAGTGCACTAGCCTCCTATTGCACATGATTAACTACATCAACTTAGACAGTACCTACACGTTTAAAATCTAAAGTGATTCAGAATTCACACGAATGGCAACTTACTATGGATAATGTTCTGCTTTTAGCAGTAAAGCTTAGTCGGTCACAGAAGTTGTGTAAAAGCTTTTTCATAATGTGTAAACAAATGTGTATTTACAAAATGAAGGAACTGTCGGCTAAGGGCCGTCGAGACCCATGGGCGCTATGGTATTCGTCAAGGCTTTTTTCCACGAGTTTATAGACCCTACATAAGAGTCATATGTAAACATAATATGTTTCGTCGTTGAACTGGCCACCTCGCCAACTGCGATTGTGCACTGTGCTCCGAGTACGGGCTCCACACAGTCGACAACTTGTGTCATTAGGCTAGGCTAGGCGCCCCGTGCGCCAGGCCACCTCAAGCCCGTCGGAACTGTGAAGGCCCCTAAGGCCAACAGTGGCTCATCCAGCCCAAAAAAAAATAGATATCATACTCGTGCAAACGTCACGACACGGCTGTCGGTACAAAGTATACTCACTGGCGGTGTAGGACTGTTTGATGACGTGGATCTCGTGGTTGGACATCGTGCACATGACCTCGATGAGGACGTCCTCGTCGGTGCCGATCCCGGCGGTGGCGTCGTGTAGCTCCTTCGCGTAGAACTGCGGCAGCGGTGTCATTAGTGCCACCAGCAGGTCCTCGAATTTGCCGCTGGTCTCGCTCTTCAGGTCGGACACCAGGTCCTAAAAGCGATGGGTGGTTTTAAATTGAAAATTGATTCGTAGTATAAGCTGGTTGTCGTCGGTCCACCTAGAGGAAGGGCTTCCAGCGCCACGTCTTCCGGTTCATGGTCGCCACTCGAGAACATTTACTTCCCATCGGTCATGAGTTCTTCGAGAGATGTGGCCTGCCCACTGCCACTTTTCGGAGGACCGACGACATCGTAAGAGTCGCGGGCAACCAGTGGATGCAAATGGCGAAGTGTCGTTCGTTGTTGCCATCTAAGGGGGAGACCTATTTTCAACAAAGGTCGTCTTGTGGCTGATGATGTAGATAAGCTGGTACCGATGAATTTAGCTTTTCTTTCTTTCATTCGTAAAAACTCTTTAGCAATCTTTCATTCTCTAAGAGTTTTCCATTTTCGTTCAATTTAAACCGAGAACTCCCGTATTAGGTTATATAATGTAAATTTGCCTCTAGGTTTTAAATTTATTTAGTACTAGCTTTTCGCCCGCGGCGTCGCTCGTGTAGAAGCCCTTAAAGAAATATTTTTTTTTAAAGTTTTAACCAATTAAAAATAGCTCTAAACTGTGTACCAAAAATTCATTTAAATCGTTTCAGTAGTTTTGGCGTGAAAGCGTGACAGACAGAGTTACTTTTGCATTTATAATATTATAAGTACGGATGAATAAAATCATACGTAGTAAAACACATAATAACTACAACATTTTAATAACAACAGAAACTCGGTTATTGGGATGTCGGCTCGCTATTGAAAAATGGATTTACCTCTACTTATGGACAATTTTCTCCGATTAGGTTTACCTAGAATTATAATTCTAATGACTCGTGAATGCATCTTCTTCTTTTTTCTTTCTTTATGGCTACTTTTCAAAGAATTCTGCCAATGTCATGTCAGTCAAAAATAATATAACCACCACGTTTTGAAGTCAGTCATGAAAGTGACAAGAGAATAACTTTAAATAATTGTTATTTTAATATATGCTCTGCGCTTTGCTATTGTGAAGAGATTAAACTTTCTCTAAGTGGAAGTATACCGTAAATCAAATACAATATCATTACAGAAGTGTCTTAGAATCACGACAATTGGAAATGCGTGCTTTATAAAATATCCTCTTGGACAAAAATCCTTTTACATACGTACATACAGTATGAATACAGGAGTTTACACTCCTTCGGGTTACTAATTTGAGTGCATTTGTATGCTAATATTATGGTAACGGTTAATTTATGGGAGTTTCTTTCATAATCATTACAATATAATCTTATTAAGTTCCGTAAAATAACGTTTGGACAAATTGCCCTGTCTAAAACTGACTTTTTGGGTTTTTTCTTCTCTTTGCACCAAAGATAACCCGGGTAGTTGCCACAGAAAATTAATTTTACTGATAGATAATCTGCGGTCAATTATGTAAGAACATCAAGCTTATTTAGGTCAATCGTACGTGATATTTTAACATAAAATAGGCAAATACTATCATATTTTTGTCTCTATTTTATAACATAATAAATCACTATCAACTACTCTTTGCTATCTAAGTACTACATTTACCTTCTCATTAACTACACCTATGGCAATAGGTCGATTGCGAAACATAATTAGAATAAATATTACGCAGATAAATCGTATAAATCACGATAAATCTTTGTTTTGAAATGCCAACAATTATCTCCTTGAAAATAGGTGTAAACTGTAAACAAGATAACTTCATTAGGCTATGGTGATAAGAGAACCCTACGTGGTTGCTATTTTTAGGACGAAAATTGGAGTAAAGATTATTTAGGTTCGTTGGAACATCGATATTGTACTAGAGAATGTTTGGTAATGTCTAAAGCAAATGTCGGTAGAGCTAAATCGAAATAGTAATATTTTTTTAATGATTACCTTTGCATGTGCATTTAACAATAGGAGCGGGATTTTCCCGCTATGATATCTTGATAAAAACATAAAATGATTTGATGATATCAGAATCACTTTAATTTTGCTTCATGAATATCATTTTGTCAACGTTTACTGACCCTCCCAGGATGCAGGAAGGTCTTGAGTTTATAACTTATAGTGTCTTATAGATCGAAATTATGAATATAAGAAGGGCGAAAAAAGTTACGGACTTGAAAATTATTTTAACTTAAAATCCATTAAAATAAATATCCATAATAAATATCCATTAAAACACCATACGGTCTGAAACCTTAATGTTTTACTTCTATAATATTATTTACTTTTTTATCAATTTATCACATTAGAGTGAAAACAAAAAGTGCTATTACTAAAATAACATTCTATATTACATTTAAAAATTTCTTTCCGTATAACTGCTAAATGCAGCGTCCGAATTTCGACTCGGTACAACAAAACCGTCAATATAATCAGCAATGGTATTATTATTGGTAAAAGGCACGCGATAGTCGGGTATGCTTTAATAGGTTAGTCCAAGCCTCATAGCGTGTAGGAGGAAAAAAAAAAATGTAAACTTGGAAGCACTTTCCATACATACCTAACCAGCGTGACATTCTCGCCCGAAGCCTATTCTTCCCAACCACTTCTATTACCAATACACCACGAAGCGAATAGCGAGGATAGACTCCGTGTTGCTTCAAATAAGAAAATGTGTCAATTTGTTTTATATCTCCGCCATGAATTTGTGTTTCTATGTTCGTTGGGATTCATCTACAAGAAGCGCGTTGGAAAAAAAGTTAACTTCCTAATCCATACTAATATTATAAATGCGAAAGTGACTGTCTGTCCGTCTCGCTTTCACGCCAAAACTACTGAACCGATTAAAATGAAATTTCGTACACAGATACTGTCTAGAGCATGGGAAAGGACATAGGCTATTTTTAATTGGAATTTTTTAAAGAAATATATTTATTTAAGGGCTTCAACGCGAGCGAAGCCGCGGGAGAAAAACTAGTAGAGTATTCATTATCTATAGATATATTTGAGACTCCTAACAACTTTTACACATATACATATATCTTTAACATCATGTGGTTTTTAAACGTTCTGGGACCGTAGTAACGCCACAAGCAGGAAGAAATTAAATTTCCGACATTAATTATTGTCATGAAGTTTTGTTTAAGTAGCACATTTTAAAAAGTAATACGTACAGTAATATAAAATATAATACCTCATACGAAACACAGAAATAAAGGCAAGAATATATATAGTCATCTGTTTCACTATGAGTTGGTTGGTAAATTAGGGTTTCTAAAAAAGGCTTTCGGTTAATGTGGCTAGAACTGTGTGCTAGAACAAAAATTAATATTCAAAGTGTGCTGCTTAATTGCACAAAGAACAGAGCAGGGCGGGATCACCATGGGAAATAAAATTTAAAAGGAGCACGCAAACAACATTTCAGTATAGATATTCGTATCAGAAAATTTATAAAGTACTAGCTTTTCGCCCGCGGCTTCGCTCGCGTTGAAGCCCTTAAATAAATATCTTTCTTTAAAGTTTCATCGCTTTGCAACACTTTTTCCAATTAAAAAATAGCCTATGTCCGTGCTCTAGACTATCTTTGTACCAAATTTCATTTAAATCGGTTCAGTAGTTTTGGCGTGAAAGCGAGACAGACAGACAGAGTTACTTTCGCATTTATAATATTAAGCACTAGTTGCTGCCCGCGACTACATCTGCGTAGAATACCCTGAAGGCGTAACATTCAGACAGATATACATAAAAATATGTGTATAAATTATAGCCTATGTCTTATTCTGATGTATAAGCTATATTTTTGTATAGTTCCATTAAAATCCATTGAGTAGTATTTGCGTGAAAGAGTAACAAACATGCATCCATACATACAAACTTTCGCCTTTGTAATATTAGTAAGGATGGATTCTTTAATATCATTACATTTGGAATTTATGCGAATACGAGTCGCCTGTAATATAGAGAAATCTGACAATAATAAATATCTACTTATCTGTCGGGTGCTTCCCATAATAATTATTATATTGTAGTTTTCCTGTTCTGTTGCCGCCACGCCCATAATTACTAAAATCGCTGAGTAGTTAGTTATGTAAAACTTTTATGTACTTAGTATTCATTCTGTTATCTTTTATAGCGTCGGATGTGCTTTTGGAATCCCCGTTCAAAGCCCTGTGTTTATCGAGTTTCCGTTAATAAAACATCGATGTGTACCACTCTAACAAACAATAAATCTACTTCGCGAATTCAGTGGAGTTCTGGGAATTGAGTTTCGAAGTTTCTGATAACTAACGTTAATTTTCAAAGTTAACGTTAATATCCTCTCAGACTTACGACTTAATAAAACAAACATGCGTAATATTTGACGCGAAATAAATGTTTATAATCTTATTATCCATGACTTATTGTCGAATGGAAAGTAGTCTATGGCTTTATTATTCAAATTATAATATTTTTTCTAGAGCAGTATTGACGAATCGATAACGATCGTAGGCTGTCAGAGAATATCACTATAATGGTTATATGCCGTGGAGTTGAAGGCGTTCCTTCAGAGAAATTAGGCTGAGTCATCGACAGTGAGCTCACGCCCATAAAAAGTTAGTTCATATAGTAGAAAAAATTATACGCTGATACGGGCTTTTGAAGTTTTTTATAAAATATTTTTGGACTTTTTTTATTACTAGTTACAAATTCAACCTTAAGCTTTGAACATTGTTATTTTATACTCGCCCTAGTAACATCACCACCACATTTAAAAATTACGAAAAAATTTTACAAAAAAAGCAGACAAAATGTAAGCCTCGAACCTCGTAAGTCACCAGTATTATCACAGACATGGAAATACTTACCAACATCGGGCTGGACGCTGCGTCAGTACAATACCGTCTAACTTCAAGCGTCGGTACAATCAGCTACATAACGAAAAGTCAATGGGCAACAAAATACTTATTACCCTCGCACTGACATATTCAGTCGACTGTACTTACTTTTCCGTACAGGGTCTTGAACTCGAACGCGATGCGAAGCCTCTGCTCGTTGCTGCGCCTGGTCAACACTTGGATGATTGCCTTCTCGTCGGTGCCGAAGCCCTTCATCGCTTTGCGCAGCACGGCGGCATCCTCGCGAGGGTCGAAGGGGTTCGCTGGCACCACGGTCGGCTTGGACTGTGAAAGTACAGCGATTAGGAGAGCCAAGTGATATTTACGTGAACAAACAAACCCTGGATATGCCAATGTAGGCACATCCAGGGCTTTGTTCTAGGCTAGATATTTGAAAAGCGACGAGCGATGCACCCAAAATCTACAATACGCAAGAGGTTCCTCATCTGTACATTTTTTTATTTATTTGAAAATGGAACTGTTTCGAAACATTTTTACGTGAGCTTATTAAATCACTACCATAAAAGCGGGAAGGATTGTAACAACATACTTAGAAGGGTAACACACAAGTCGGCGGAACACCAGTTAGTACCTTATTGTATAACTAAACCGTAGTGTTTTTAACCATATCGTCTAAATCCCTTAAGCATTTGCAACTTCACCGAAAGATTTCATTGAAAATACGTAATTAAAAAAATACATTTGTAGATGGTCTTGTCGTTATGGTTCTTTCCAATCTAGGAATGCCAATATGCAAACAACAACATAATTGATGTCTACTGCGCATGACACGACTGCAAATATTTGCGCTAATATAGCGGTAGCCAACTTTAACGCTCTATTTCATCTCTTATTATGCATATACGGTTAGGCATTCATACGTCTTCAAGTGCTCAGTAAGACTTAAGTCTTTTCAACACTCGGGACAAGTATGCAAACGAGAATGAGTGATCATGCAAACGCCATTTATTTTTTCAACTGTTTACTACAAAAGCGCCATCAACTAGATGGTAACAGGTACAGGAATAGATCACTATTCACTATATTACCAGTAGCAGCGAAGAAATTCAAGGTTTTGGCTGCCGGTGCATCAGAATCGTTCGCGTAAACCAATCTAAGGAGAGAATGCGGCGGAATAGGGCGGTGCGCATCTATGCAACGCACCGTATCATGCGCAATTGATATATCAACTAATAAAACGATATGTCGCGTATTACAAGGATGATACTTTCTTTTTACTCGAAAGCCAAACAATGCTATTAGACGTGTTACTAAAGCGTTAAAACCGCCATAATTCATGCGCAGCTAGCAATTAGTCAACGGTTAAATATAAGCTAATTATAACGAAACATCACTACATAGTATAAAACAAAGTCATCCCGCTGTCTGTCTGTCCCTATGTATGCTTAGATCTTTAAAACTACGCAACGGATCTTGATGCGGTTTGTTTTACTAGATGAGGGATTCAAGAGTAAGGTTTATATTTATAATACATTGCACCCGTGCGAGGCCGGGGCGGGTCGCTAGTACAAAACAAAAGCGACTTCAAACGCATCAGATCTCCTTACGAATAAGGGCCAATGTCGCGCAAACGATACGGCCTTCGCATTAATCCGCAGCCGACACAATCATAGCACAATACAAACAACGAACGCGCTAGGAGGGAGCAATCACAAAATCATACCGTGAAACGGAACGATTTGAACCCGCGCCGTAAACCAATTGTCGCTCTATACGCGCTGCGCATACTGGAGTTCGATGTTACGGAAGACATTTTGTGCGTCGAATACAAAGCGAGAGTTCGATATTCAGATCCCGTGGAACACTGTTACGTCACAAGCACCATAACACCTGGCTAGCCGAAGCGCGAGTCGGTACAGAATATGACCGGGCATACATCCATTGTATCGGGGACCAAAGTCAAGACTGAGCCGTGGGTTATTGTGATAAATGTAAGCGGTGAGGCGAGGCGAACATAACGATGTAATTGCAGCAAAATGTTCCTTGAATAGAGCCGGAGCCGGCGTATAGGTATGGCGGCTTCGTAAGCCAGTGTCAGACGACTTTTCAAATGATACACCCCCGCGGCAAATTGCCCGCAATTGTTTCTTGGGAATGGAATGAGCGCATTTTCGATGGTCCGATTAGGTGCCAATTGTTAAAAACGTTTATTTTTATATAAAACGAGCTTTATGATAAAGCATCTTATTTATTTATTTATTTTATAATTTATGAACACAGAGTTGACAGAATTGTAAATAGATGAAAGAATTTGTACAAAGGCCCTTTTCTTATTGATATATAGATATGAATGATAATTTATTATTAACAACAAAAAAGACTTCAACAGACGATACATTTCCTATTCTGCGTGACCCTTGAAAACATCTATTTTCCAATACCAAAAAGTATTTTTCAAAAACAATTGATACATAACGGGAGCTCTAAAGTAACAAACATAAAAAATAAATAAGAAATTCCAAACTTCCTCCCTTTTCAAAGTTGTCTGAAAATCATGAAAATAGATATTACAATATAACCTATTTGATAAGTAAAAGTATTCAAAAGAATAAGACCTTTATGCCTTTTATGCAGACCCATAAAATATAATTTCAGAGAAGTTACAAATAGGTATTTGAAACATGTACATTAATAATGTTAAATTAAATGTTGAAATTAAAAAATCAAATTTAATTAAATGTTGGTATATAAACCTATATAATAAGAAAGTAATATGTTATTCCCCGTCATTGGGGGATTAATTGGTTTTAGGAAATAATTGTTTTAAAATTGTAGATAGTTAATCACTAACTAAAAGGAATTTGCAAGATTTGTTTAAAGAATTTAAACTCATGAAGCACACAGCTATAAGTCAACGCAAGACAAAAATAAAATAATTTTTAGTAAAGTAAAGTATCAGCCTCTACATATCCCACTGCTGGGCAAAAGCACTTGGCTCCTCCTCTGTACAGAGGGTATCAGGGCATAGTCCACCACGCGGCCCCACTGCAGATTGGTGGATTATATTTTTTTATTTATATCTTAGAAATATATATTTTTTTGTTATTATTTCGAAAATATGCAGGTTTCCTCATGATGTTTTCCTTCACCGCTGAGCACGTGATAATTGGGAACTTAAAATTAACATTTCATTGGTGCCGGCACTGGGGATCGAACTCAGGTTGCTCGAGTATATAGAATGAAATAGTATATTGAGCTATCACTGCAATTTTTATTAAAAAATAATACTTCTTCGTCTTAAAATAAATCTGACACACTATACATTATTATTATTATTATTATATATACTTTATTGTACACCACAAAAAGTTTTATACATTATTTAATTTAGGGGTTGATGTATCTCCGAAGTCCAATGTCTAATGATATTAGTTAATTAAATTAATATGCAATCATGTAAAAGCTAAACCGAGCCCAATGCAAAATGTAATTTTTAAAATCAGCTTATAAATTACTGAGTTCTGAGGTAACCTAAAATATTAATAAATGAGATATATACATTTCTTATGTAAATCAAAAATTCTAATTAAATTAATCTTTGCTTTCATGGCATATACCTACATACTGGATAAAAAAAAAGTAGGTTTACATAAAAACAATCACAAAAATTTAACCGAAAACAATTTTTAAAGTTCTACTGAAATAATTCAAATAGTCCTATCATGTAGACTAGTGTGAAGTTTTCTTACAGAAAAAAAATTTATAATTCCAATAGCCTACCCAACAGACTTTGCCCTGTACACACAACTTAAATCTGGCAACAACGTATAAATAAAAAAAATGTAGTGAGCTGAATTGTGAATCTAAACCATTCTTGAATGCATCTGAAGATACAAAAAAATTCATTAAAATCGGTCCAGCCTTTTAAGAGTCAGAAAAACTATATATAAATATATAATATATCCTTAATATTATAATATAACCATCTTCTTTCTTATAATATATATAAAAAAAATAGCTTCCATTTATTTGTGCCACGAAACTTAAAACGGGCCTGACTTATTATTTGTTTAACATATTGAACATGAGTGTTTTTATATATTTTGTATTCCTATATTCTGATAGAAAAAACATAATAAGCCAGAACAAAATGTGGCGCCGTGCTAAGCTAACATAATAAAAATATTGTATACTTGTCTCAATCTTATAGCTTTCCTTAATCTTCATCATTTAGAAAATCTTTTTTGCCCTCTGTATAATAAAAGTCACTTAACTTACATTATTCCACATATTATTTCTTTTCAACTTCATAATATGACTACAAAGTCATGATATTGTGAAGAAAAATTAATAAATAAATAATACATAAATATCATTAAAATTGACACTAGAAATCTGACCAAACATACTGATTGGCATTTAGTCAAGTATCTTTAATATTTACAAAGTGCTTCATCGGGCAAGGGTGCCATAACATTTTATTCAACCATTCTATTGTTAGCCTACTGTGCAGTGTTGTATATAAACTGATTTCCCTTGTAGGGACTATGTAGTATTTGAACATAGATGATTCATGTAATTGTGTAAAGACATTTATCAGGTAAAATCTAAAACATAGTTCACAATGACTCATTTAGAAATATTGCACCACATTCTATTAGAACAATAATAGTCTGAAAAAATATCAAAGCCCATTGGAATTAAGTAATTATAACTAAAAATATACAATTAAAAACAGAGGCATTTTTTTAATATAACACAAATGAGACTGTAAATTATGAATAAAAAAATATTTATATAAAATTGTCTAATTTATGCCCAAAAGTTATGACATGTATTGTGTATATTCATTGGTGAGTTGCAAATGAAAAAGATTTAAAACATCCCAAAAGAGGTTAAATGCTAGCACATGCAAAAGCCACACACATTTTCATGCTTAGCCTGTTTTGCTTATCACAATGATGGTTTCGAGATTGAATTAGCACAGTGTATTTTTGTGAGAATAGTTAGATTGAGTTGAACATACCTTAGGAATATTTGCCATGGGGTTTGATGAGATGCTGTACACTTGTTGGCTTTGTGATTGGGGTTGGTGCTGAGAAGGGTAACTTTGATAATGATTTGACGGTTGGTGTCCTTGACTTGCCTGTGGGTACCCTGTTTGAGCTTGTGGGTACCCTTGATTGGCTTGTGGATACCCTTGAGCAGATGGGTAGCCTTGAGCAGATTGTGGATAACCTTGAGCACTATTTGGATAGCCTTGGCTACTAGGGTAGCCTGAACTTTGTTGTGGATAGGCTTGATTGTTCTGGGGATACCCAGCAGAGGCAGTAGGATATCCAGGCTGCGGCGCCGGATAGCCCATTGTTGGAAAACCCGGCATCGGCATGGGGTTCCCAAACGATTGTGGGGCTGTGTTGCAAAATCCTATGTTATGTAGATATGGTGGTTGCGAATATCCCGATTGGCCCTTAAAACCGAATTAAAACTAAAATCAGTGAAGTTTTAAAATTTTACAATCATTTTGTCATTTTTTTTTGTGATAAACAAAACAAGGTTAACTATGTTCGTGCTCTAGTTTGGTTACAATTACTTACTTGCTGATAAGGATTCATTTTGTTTATTCACGCACAAATTACTCTTGTTGTATTCACACTGGATGGATTTTCAATATAACGTTTTATCGACTATTAACAAACTCTCTCCGAATAAAAATTGACAAGACAACAAGACAACGAATGAAAGAACAAAACTAAGTGAATGTGATGTGATGTGAATGAGAATGATGAGATGAGAATTGGAAGATTGGAATGGAACGAAACGAACGACTGAAAAATAATTTCGATATATAAAAATATCGATACTTTTCCATAAATTATCGAAATACATCGTCGATGTTTATATTGAAAATATGTATAAATGATTATTGGAAAAATGATGATACATCGATATTTTTCATAAGTATCAGTAATTTTTAACAATGTCTGTACGATATATATGTATATTTCGTAGGAATGGGCAAATAAATATACCTACAGCGTGTCGTTACAACCGCGACAATAATTGAACATACAAATAGAGGATAACTTTTTAAAATTATTAAATATTGAAATCGTTTCAAAAACGATATTTTTCTACAAATAAAATTCAGCTGAATATTAATAGATTCAAATCCGTAAAAGAAAGAAATTAACGAAAACTTACAATTCCATGTTTCGACTTTATACTATCCATACTTAGGTACAACATAATACAGAGGTGTTATAAATCATTAATATTGAACTATGTACATTTTAAGCCAATTTATAAATAGCACGTGAAATATTAATGGTATTAACTAAAGTTAATTTACTTTATGATTTTAATAAAGTTAACAAAATTTAATTATATTCAAGTAATCATCTATCAATAATATACATTTGGATTATAATTAATAATAATATAAAAACTGTGAGCCGTCACGGGACGCCTGGCAGATGTGAAACATCGACATTATTGCATGCGTTGCCACGCCAGAAATCGATTTTACGTGCGGTTATAAATGTTTCACATCAATTAATGATTAACATACCTTCGTGTTAAATTACTTTTATCGATGATTGAATAAGGATGAACTAAATACATTATTTTTTAAAACAGAAAGTTTTAGCGATATCAATATATTGTTATATTTATAAATATCGATATATTTGTTAAGTTTTGACATCCCTATAAAAAATTCCAAGAAGAATGAGTCAAAACTGAATGAGTGATTCTGAATTTTTGATGACGTACCATTGAACATAGATAAGATATTATATACTGAAATGCCATTGAATCTTACTAGTTATATACGCTATTACGTATATATCATTTTCACGCAGATTGTTTTCATGCTAATTTAAGTAATTTCCAACAGAATCTTCGTATATACATCAGTAAACTACACTAAAACTATAGTTTTACAAGTACAGTAAACTATAGTTTGTTTCATGGATCAATACGAGATGGCGCTTAAAAACATTTGAATAAAAAAATCATGTAGCATTTTATTTGAAAAGTATTGTTTGGAAAATCAAAGTTTATAAAATGAAGATAACCAGTTTATAAAAATAATTTAATAATGTTCATAAAGGTACGAATTACCTTATTTGAAAAGAAATTAAATATACGTTAGTTATGAGTAAATAAAAGAAATTCTCTGGGCTGTACTTTTATCTGACAGTAAGACAAACATGTATCGATTAAACACTTCTAATTACTCTTTCGCATTTTAATTGTATATATGATCGTTGTACACATCATAACCCCTGTTGTATAGGTCCGTCACGTCGACGTTTGGTTTTTCGCCAGCTATTATCCATACACTGCCGCTTGAACCATTTTTGTATGCGTTCACAAGACCGCGAGCTGCGAATTCAGGGCTAGAAAAATAAATTATTACATTATGAAAATCCATTTCATACTAATACATAATTTCATATAATTACGAAAGCACTACCTACACATATGGGTCTATCGCCTTTAATTTTAATTTTAACTTTCGACGTTACATGCAGTATTTGTTTTCGGAAAATAAGTAAAAAAAGTTTTTTGAAAACAAGCAAATATGGTAAAGTTAAGAGACAGCATGGATTTTTTTGGTGATACATGTACTTATAGGCAAAATCAAGTGGCCAGAATGAAGCTTATAATATAATCTTTGCAAATTTTCCACGATTTCATTATAAAAATCTTACAACAATCACTACGCTAAACGGCTGATTGAGACACCGACGAAAACCCCAATGTCTTTTACATCTAGTGTTTCGCATTATAAGCAATTTTCACATATAAGACTTTTCGCATCTATTGTTACATATCCTATAAAGCTTATAAACAATTGCAAATAACGCGCGGAACCAGAAGACGTGGGCTCGATTCCAGCAGCGGCGAAAAACTTTCGTCCATTTAAAAAAATATTTTTCATTTAATATGCAGAGATTAATATAGATTAGCACTATAAAAAATTAAGTTAACGGGTAAAATTTCCGAACAGTACGTCTCGTTTTTCAAGCTAGAAAAAAATTTTAATATAAAATCTTGAAGCAAATTACCTATTATTTATTTTTAGAAAGCAGATCTTGTGTATTTAATCCGAAACGGTATATTTCAATAAATATTTACCTTTGAAATTTCACCACGTTCAAACTATCTACAAGTGCCGCTTCTACGTTAGCGTCAAAACTTCCCATTTTCTCTTTAGTCATCAAAGGAGTTTTTGTTGGTCCAAAGCATATGGTAAGGAAACGAACTCCAGTTCTTGAGTAGTATAAATCATCCTGAAAACACGGATAACAACGCTTAAAGCTTTCGACCTTTTACTTTCTAGATGACTGTTTGACAATAAAAGACATTATCGGTCATAATTAACATTTGTAAATAAATAGAAACAACCTAGCAAAGCTGACTTTTAATTACAAAGCTTCTTTGACAATATGTCCAACTGCCATTATGCCCGAACGGAAACGAATTTCGTATGCACTTAAACCTCTTTTGTGTGGATAGCCTTTTACACGCTTCATTAAGGTAAAAAAAAATATTGTATTTTTATAAAGCCTGTAATGAATTAATTCATTGTTGGGCAAGTAAAGGTTCATCATCATCATTTCAGTCTGTTTGAGTCCACAGCTGCACATAAGCCCCACAGACTGACACGAATTACGATCCTGCATCCATCGACTTGGCTTAAGTAAAGGTTAAGGCTTAACGTTATATTTGATGTTATTTGATGACTCCGTGGCGCAGCTGCCGAGTTACTGGTTTCGGAGTCGGGGGTCGTGGGTTCGATTCCGTCGTTCGGTCGTCGACAACTATTTGTGCGACCCACAGATAGTTGTTTCGCATCTGGGTGTTTGGCTTCGTTCAATTTATGCCTGTAAAACTTCCTTACAACACAGGATAATGTCCTAAAGTGAGGGCTATGTTTTACTAAAAATAATTATTTCAAATCTTCATCAGTAGGTTTGACAAAGTAAAAACTTACACCCATGGTAGTGGTAAATTTTAGTACTGCACTTTTAGTTGCACTGTAGATTGGAAGTACATGCACTTGGCAAAGCGCAGCAACCGATGAGATATTAATAACGGCTCCACCTTTTCCCCCTTCGTCTTTCCTCATCAGTTCTAGAGCTTTCAAGGAGCTGGTCACTAGTGCAGTCTATAAAAACATGAAATAAAATTTAAAGTTCATTGCAATCACATCATTCTACATCCGAATACTGGAAACATGCATATTTCATTAGCAATAAGATAATTTTGCTATATCTGTTGTACCAATGCATCTAATACTGAAGTATATTTCAGAATATAGGTACTCGCAAGTTTGATGAGAAAAGGCAAGACACAGACAAATAAATAATTTTATTTTGTAAAAAGTAGCATCAGTTTCAAATAAAAATTGATAGAGAAGTATAACTTACTATATTTATGTCTATTTGTTTTTCATAAGTTTTCAAACTATCGTTCAATATTCCAGCATTGTTTATGACGATATCTATACATCCACGTTCTATTTTAATTTTATCAAATGCTTGTAATAGCTGTTCTTTGTTTGTTACATCACATTTTATGAACTGTACTTTGTTGTTACCGAATTTCAAGTTTAATTCATTTGCCAAAGCTATTCCAGCTTCCTCGGCCACATCCAGAACAGCGACATGCTGAAAATGATTGAATTGAGTTTTCTTCTCAATGGAGTGAACAAATGTAATATCCTTAAAATTATTATTTACTATTTTAGTTTTCTTAAGATATTGTAAAATCCAGGCCTCCTATCTAATTGAAATTTAATATTTTATTAATCTATATATAAAAAAAATCTATTAATCTATATAAAATGATATAGGTTGTGTAGTGTGACGATCATAACATTATGTAAGTTCACATTGATAAACTTGTTAATCGATGCGTGAAGTACGATATATATGGCTTAACAAAAGGATGTATTAGAAAGAATATAGGTATATATATATATATATATATTCATCTCATAGATGGTAAGTCATGATCATTATCGTTCATTGGCCAGTCGTAATGCCAACGTATCCCGGGCAGTTGCAGTTTAGGAGGTATAACAGCATATGTAGTTACACATATTTGCTGTTAGACTTTGCGAACTTTAATTCTGATGGTGGTTCGGAGGTTATTGCTGTGGATGCAGTGTGGTTATATCGTGTTTAAATGTGAGGTTTGTGTGGAACTAGCTGCCGCCGGCGGTCTCTCCGAAACGTTCCGACCTGGGAACCTACAAGAAGAGAGCATGCTCTTTCCTAAAAGGCCGGCAACGTATTTGTAAGCACTCTGGTTTTGCAGGTGTCCATGGGCGGCCATGATCATTTACCATCAGGTGAGCCTCCTGCTCGTTTGCCGCTTTTTTCCCCATAAAAAAGGTCAACTACAGATTGTCGTTTTACAACCGTAGCTTTGTCGGATTGCAGCATAGCTATTATTTGGAGGAAAAGATCTTCCGTTACCACTTATTATTTCGGATGAACTCTCTTCATTTTTGAAGGATTGTTTGGTGAGATCATTGAAATTGATCGCGACATCGGGTGCTTGCCTTACAAGTGAAGGTTGTTTAGAGATACGGTGGCTATGTCTATGGATTTATTACCATTCATCACAAGTATGTTAAAAATCTTTGAAATGCTTATCTAAGTACCATGCCATGAAATTTTATTTTCACCTGTAAACTACTCAGGGAAATTTTATATTTCACATATAGAATTATTGTTTAATTTGGTGTAAAACTTTGTAACTAAGATTTCCAAGTTATTATTATTTTTCGTGTCTGATGTTTAGTGATAACCGCCGACCATGGAAATTTGCCACTCCCGTAATATTGCAAATGCGTTGACACCTTTAAATAAAGTGGGCCCCGGCTACCTCATTCACCAGACAAAACGCAGAAGTGAAACACTTCTACTTTAAGCCGGTCTTCTGTGAAGTTGTGTAATTACCCGGACGGACCTGCTCATTCGTGCAACAGTGAACACTGTTGCATGGTCCTACCACAGTTAAACATTTTGTTTAAATTTCTTATGTTACAAATTTTAAATAAGAGTTCGTTTCAAATAGCTTTAATTAGAAAGTAGGGACGTCTAAACATTGTTGTTGAGCATCAAGCAAATCAGAGAATCCGGAAAATGAATCATAATTGTATATTAATTTATACGTGACGAAACAGTTTTGGCTAGATTTCTGTTTATTTGTAGTGCCAAGTAGTTTTCTGAGTTTGCAGGGGGTCAATAATTTTTTGACTTTACTTCGGTTTCTTGTTTAAGCGTTTTTATTCGTCACCCGGTAAACTAAAGAAACAAAAAAATGCATTAACTGCCGACAAAACTGTTAACAGGCCTTTTTTAGACTTAGAAGGTGGAAAATTACCTTTGCGCCTTCTTCAACAGCCATCTTCACGACCCAGGAGCCTATTCCTGTTGCTGCTCCGGTTATCAAAATAACTTTATCTTCCAAAGTGTACGACATGTTTTCTACTGGTGCAGTAAGTTTTTTTTTTGTTGCGGAAACGTTCGTTTTATATATCAAAGATAATTTTACACCAACTTTTTTAGTCACCGATCTTTATCTTTACAATTAGTACCTTCACACCTTCGAAACAAAGATCATTTTTATATAGCTTGTACTAGATTGACAGATAAAAGGGTTTTATAGTAATTTTGATTAGATTATGAATATTAAAAACAAACTTATTAGAAGTATAATCATAAAACTTGTTTTTATTATAGCATAGCTTGTGTTATATTTTTAAGATAAAAATTAGAGAGACAATCAATAAAACTAATAAAAAGAGATAAATTTATAAAAATAAATACTAAAAAAATATTGAACAATTACAATCCTCACCTTCTTCATTATATTTATTTTCTCTAAATGCAGCATTACGATCTATTAGGTAATACCTTTTTTGTCACGTGTAGTTTGCAGTTAGCCGCTTTCGAGAAGAGGTCCGCGGGCAGACGACCCACGGACTCGGGAGAACAACGTAGCTGATGCACGGCGACGACAAGAAAACGCCGTCCACTCCGCTGAACTCCGCAACACCCTGCTAACGAAAGATGGACAATAATATAAATATAAATAATAAATAAATAGGTAATACCCTCATTGTCAGCGTTAGTTTGTATATGTCTTGATCCCGTAGTGTCCAGTTGCTGCAATATTCTACTAGGTTATTTTAAATTAATTAATAATTTAATATAATAATTTCTTGTAGAGTTTTTAAATATGTTGCTTAAATATTGTTGCATATTATTGTTTACCGGACAAACCATAAATTTGTTTTCTGTATCCATTATATCCAAAATGAATGAAAAAAAAAATTCAACTTGAATAAAGTTTTCTAGCTGATCTTTAATCAAAGTTTTACGATCAGTATTACTGAACTTTAAATTACTTATTACAATTTTTTTTATGTAAGAATGTGGCAAATGAACTCACGGTCCACCTTATGTTAAGTGATAACCATTGCCCACGAACATTTGGAGTGTTGTAAATGCGTTGTCATCTTTAAACAAAGTGGGCCCCGGCTACCTGACTCATCAGACAAAATGCAGAAATGCAACACTTCTACTTTTCAAATTGAAAGATGCCGTCTCATATTTAAAAAAAAAACATCGGGATATTCTTGGGCATGAGGCCAGAGATAAAAACGCTTCAATGAGACGTTTAGTAGGGGAGCCCATTAAAGGATTTCGCTATTTACTCGAGCGCGGCAGATTAACATACAGTATCCCCCTGTACCCGATTATGTACCTCTACCAAATATGAGCCCCATATAATATAAGGCCGCCCGTCAAGGATAAAGGATAAGATTTATAAAAAAAATTGATCATCGGAAACTCGAGGGCGTCAGATTATGGTAGGGTGAGTTAATTACATGCTAAAACGTGTATATTCCACTAATCTGACAATTTAAGACTGACGTAAAGGCACGGGACAAAGCTACAAAGATGTTAAAAATAACGTCATCTCGACATTCTTGAGCGTGGCTCAATTTTTTTTTATTTTGGAAGAAATAATTAAAGGATAAGGAAAAATATATAATCTGACGATTTTCACAAGCCGAAGTAACAAAAATTCGTCGATAAAGTTTAAGGCGTGCAGGTGCGTGATGCCTATATTCCCCTCTCCGCGATTCTATTCTTCTCTCATTCTTTCTCTATCTATTATTCTCTCACTCCGTCCCCACTCTGGTTTGTTTTGCCATGATGATTAATAAATCAATGAATTATAAAAAAACATTCTTTTTATTATTTTCTTATAAATACACGTGTTGTACTTAAAAAACATACACTTTTCTTATGCATCCTGAACTTTTCAATGAATTAATTTCAATCATGAAATTAAATCTGACAAATTTTTTTTCAGATTAGGCGTATCCCTGCAGACAATCGTCATATTATGAGACAGCACGACTAGGACATAAAGATGAACCATATTATGTATCTTAATCTGACGCACTCGAGTATTTCAAAATGGCGTTTTGTTGCACATTATAGTGATGGCCGTGAGTTTGCGTCACATCCAAATTGTCAGATTATTGAATTAGAGCTTTTTTGGGTTCACTTAACACCCCCTTAGAAAATATGACGCGCTTGAACATTTTTTTTTATTTCCTGCCCTTACGTCCGACCACCCCCATCAATGCAAACGTTCAGATTAACATACGTACAACATTAAAAATACGTAGGACATTAATGCTATCAATATCTGACGTTCTCGAGTATGTTCATGCAACAGTATTTTTTTACATATTTGAACATCTATAGGCGCTCGCCCCACCGATGAAAAGATATACATGATATAAAAGTTTTTCTTCTTATCAACTAAGCTTTGCAACCCAATAGATCTCTAGTAAATCCCCATTTGGCATCGTGGGCTCCCCTATAGTAGGGGCGTCCACGATGCCAAATTCGTCAGCATTAATTCCCCGAGTAGTGACGGGAAGTGGTTGGCGAAAATCTCTAGGAAAAAACAACTGTGGTGTTCTTTCGTAGTGTACAATCTTCCGTAGTGTGCTGTTAATGGCCGATTCTGTTAATTCGATCTCAGTTATAGACTTGCTTGCCTTTTCTCATTACATTCTTGAAGTCTAATCATTCTCATTCTTTTTACTGCTCTAGTGTACTGAGACAGACCCGCCTTTCCCAAATCAAGTACTTCTTTTTAGTATTTGTTTTCTTTTATTCGTAAATAGTATATTTTGTATGCATACTTATTATTTGTATCGCGAACTATGTCATTTGAAAAAAAAAAATGAAACTAGTTCATCAAGTAGTTTACAATGTATATTTTCGGTTTGACTGAGCCGATTAAACAAATCTATGTTGGCGCAAGCTAAGCTTAAGTAACCAATGATAATTGCAAATGAATAGATAGACTGTCAGACAGACAAAATTTAAAAATAGGTTTTTAAATATTTAAAAAATGTTTCCTTATAGGACACTCTTTTTGTGATTTTTTCACAAGCATATTCAATGTATAATAAACACACCGATTCTACTCTTTTATTTTAGTATAGATTCAGTATTATGGTATTTACCACTAATGTGCATATAATTTTGTAACCTTTTACGACAATGAAGAAATTTATGTTTTTTGGGGGATATTCATTTGATTTCTCGTCTGATTGGGTTTTTATAAATAAAAAATAAACATAAACATACATGTTGTATATATAAAATAAATATTATGCATACTATAATACTCTCTTTTTAATGTCTATATTCGTGTTGCCATGTGTAATAGAACAATGTCGGTAGAGCTGCACATTACATTGCATTCAGATGTAATGCTTACTTCTACTATGCCAAAATTTTGCAATCGATATCGATGTGAATAGGTCATTCCGAACTCAATAGACACAGTTCAAAGTTTTAAAGCATACTACAAAAACAATTTCCATTTTGTGACAAAAAAAATTAAGCAGTTTTGATAGTGAATAACTTTTTTCTACAAAAATAAACACCAGTCATTTCTTAACTTAACTGTAAGAGTACGTTACGTATATAACACGTAACACGATCGTCAAGTTGACGCAACATAACGCGTACACAAGGTACACCCGTGTTCCAGGGCGGTTCTCGCCGCCCCCAGCCACCGATTAGCTAAAAACACAGTCGACATCGGGATCCCGGTCCGAACCGAAACCTCGATGGCACTTAGATGACATAACATAGTTAAATGCATGCATGAGCACATGCATGCGTTTAACTATGGTATGTCATCTATGGCGCGGTCCTACCCACAGAGAAAGACCCAAGCCCGTGGGTTCTGGCTAGCCCACCGGTTCTGTGTCAGATGAAGCTTTAATAGGCTCGGGACTGAAAGCAAAAACATCAGTTAATACAAGATACAAGTTGTCGTTATTGCGCATAGCTTAGTAAAAGCACTGTTGCTCATGTTGGAAGGAGATTAACACGTATGAGACTTATAATTTGTTTGGTAAAAACCGTTTTCTCTGCTGATTTCCTCCTTGCTTACCTTTTTTAGTAGTAAATAATCTTGAGACCATTTTTTTATCATGAGTTTTATAGAAATGTGTAAGTAATTGAATTTACCCTACATTGTCAAAAGTTCTTACAGAAAATTTAATAGATCTATGGGTCACAGAATAATGCTGTAGTTACCTTCTAATTTTACCTTGAAAATAAAAGTTTTAAATGTTTGTTTGTGTTATTCACAATCTAATCGAAATCGCTTTATATGAGATATCAGAAAATGTTACTTATGCTGAAGGTTTGAAGGTGAATAAGGATCGGCTACTAACATAATTGATAGAAAATTATCTTTGTGATTAAACTAATGTTGTAGCAACATATTAATAAATCAGTTACATTTATGGTGCAGTAGAAGACATGTCGTATACTTTGAAAAATAAGGTTATTTTGATAACTGGAGCGGCAACAGGAATAGGCTCCTGGGTCGTAAGGATGGCTGTTGATGATGACGCAAAGGTAATTTCTTTTATTTTTTATGTAAATTCCACTCCATTTCCACCTTCTATGTATGAACATAGAGAGTGGAAGGGGAAAGTGGAATGTTCTGAAACAGCCTTCTTAATGTTTTTATTGAATGTGAAATTGAACATTTCTTCTTCAGCTCGCTCAGTGCTTTTTTACACTTGTGATGATTACTAAACACTTCGAAACAGAAAATTTAAGAAAAAAAATGGATCTGGTCAGTCAACAACGAAAATTTTCGAAAGTGCTTTACAATATTCGAATTCTTTATTGAGTGCTAATCAGGAGTAAACGATAACGTTTATAAACGGAGGCATTTGCAAGGAAAATTCCTTTTTTATTTTTTTTACGTGAAAAGTTGCCAAGCGAGCAGGTGGTTTATGCGTTGACAACCTTTTGAAAATTGGGCTCCGGCTAACTCACTCATCAGACGAATGCGAAAGTATTATACTTCCACTTTCACGCCGGTCTTCTGTGAGGTCGTGATACTTACGCGGACGAGCCTGCCCTTACGTGCAACAGCCGAGGCTGCTGCGTGGCCCTACCACCGTTAGAAATCTTTCTCCAAGAAATCGATTTGCTGTCACCCGACAACACTACATATACGTCTGTTGGAATACGAAACGTAACACGAGCACGACCAAATAGATTTGGGGTTCTCAAAGTCAAAGCGTAAATACACTTTACACTTCAGCAGTGCCTTAGGATCACCATCTCGATAATTGTTTAAGTTACACTAGCTATTGTTATATTGAGTATACTTTACTATTCCCGAACATGTTGGCACTATGGTAAAGGCAACGAGATGAGCAAAAAGATGAACAATAATGATAAACACAGACAGCTTTTACATGTCATAATTGATCACCTATGAGATAAGTATTTCTTTTATTTATGTTATACTCCCCTTTGTTAAGTATTTTATGAACTAAATATTTCGTGTTTCATGTGCAGAGTGAAAAATTTATCAGTGTTTCGTTACACAACGTGGAACGTCACTTACATTGACCTATTTAACATACAGATAAATTAAAATTGTTTGCCTGATACTGACGATTTGATATCAAAATGCAATTAGCTATTAGGCTTCGATAATCTTTATAATTTATTAAGGTTCAATACCCAAAGTGTGAAACGGGAGCTTATTAATAAGACTTCGCTGTCTGTCTGTCCGTCCGTCACCAGGCTGTATCTCATCTCACAGAGTTGATTCACATAAATTTTCACAGATGCTGTATTTCTATTGCCGCTATAACAACAAATACTAAAAAAACGGAATAAAAATTTATTTAAGTAGTGCTCCCCTTGAACAGACATGATGTTTTTATAGATTATGTTACGGAACCCTTCGTGCGCGAGTCCGACTCGCACTTGGCCGGTTTTTGATTTAATATAAATTACAAAGATAATCCTTGCATCTATCTAAATATTGACCAAGACCAGTTCTCGTTAAAAAAAACTAACAAACAGAAAATAAATTTAGTTCAAATCGATCAAGCAATTTTAAGGACATCTATGATATTTATGCTTATTGATGTAAACTTCTTTTTACTGGCGAAGAAAATTCAATTGAATCATTTTCAGCATGTCGCTGTTTTGGATGTGGCCGAGGAAGCTGGAATAGCTTTCGAAAATGAATTAAACTCCAAATACGGCAACAACAAAGTAAAGTTTATAAAATGCGATGTATCAAAAAAAGAACAGCTGTTACAAGCATTTGATAAAATTAAAATGGAATTTGAATTTATAGACATCGTCATAAACAATGCTGGAATATTGAACGATAGTTTGAAGACTTATGAAAAACAAATTGACATCAATATAGTAAGTAATACTTATGACATACATATTATCTATGACATAAAACTTATAACAAGCATATTTCAGTACTAGTTACATTTCATTCCGTACAAGTTGCTAAAATACCTTTATGCTAATGAATTAACTACACTAGTGAATAGAATATAGGGATGTGGTCTTACTAGGCATACGTGTAGGCCTCTTTCGTTCAGAGGGTATTTCAAGATATTAGGACCCACGCGACCCCCCTGCGGTTTGGTAGATTTCATACATCTTTGTTTTTTTGTGACTTTATTTCGAAAATATACAAGTTTCCGCACCATGTTTTTCTTTAGCTTGCACGTGCGACATCTGCACAAAATTAACAATTTCATCAGTGGCGGCACTGGGGTTTGAAATCGAGTTGTTAGAGTATGTCGAATTCAAAGTGAGCACCCGGACACTAGAACTATCGCGCCCTTTCACAATACCATAATAGAGGAGATCATAATTTTCACATATGTCTGAAGATGTGATTGCAACAATTATTTTAATTGTTTTATGTTTTTATAGACTGCACTGGTCACCAGCTCCTTGAAGGCTGTAGAGCTAATGCGGAAAGACGAAGGGGGAAAAGGTGGCGCCGTTATAAACATCTCATCAGTTGCTGCACTATGTGCAGTGCCTGTAACTCCAATCTACAGTGCAACTAAAAGTGCAGTACTCAAGTTTACCACGGCCATGGGTGTAAGATTTTGTATTGCCAACCCTACTGACTAATTTTATAGCAATGCAACATTGATTTACTTTTGTTTATTTTTAGTTGTTTTACTTGCACAATATTAAACGCTACCCTTTATTGGCCTAATGATAGCCGAATTATTCATTAGAGGCAAGATGCAGTAAAAAATCCTTTGTTCTTGTGTCTTAATAAAGTGTGAAAAACGCTATCTACACAAAGGAGGTTTCAAGTCTGTACGATTTTTCTCACTACGCAATAAATTTCAGTGTTGCCAAATAAACTTTGCTTTCTAACATCTTACAAATGTTAATAATGACCGATAACACCTGCGATAGTCCAGGGGATATCTTTATAACAAGTCGATAGTAGTTTTATACGCTGTGATTCGTCTTTTCAGGATAAATTATACTATTCAAGAACTGGTGTTCGCTTCCTGACCATATGTTTCGGAGCAACAAAAACACCTTTATTGTCTAAAGAGAAAATGGGCAGTTTTGATGCTGTTGTAGAAGCAGAACTATCAGATAGTTTGAGCGTGCTGATATGGCAAAGGTAAGCATTTATTTGAAACATACAGTCATGGATTAGATACACGTTCTGCCTACTAACCGTAAATTCAGCTAATAATTTGCCTCAAGATATCATAAACTTGAGACCATGTCATGTTAATGTTTTACTAAATTCGCTCTTTAATTAAAAATGAGGTTAGAAATTTGACGTTACATTATTTTGCTTTAAAGTCATGACTTGCTACTGAACTTCATGTTGTGGTATAAAAGGTGAAAACTTCGGAACAGTCGCTATCTGCTAAAAGGATGAGTGAGGTTCTTTCGCAGTAAACCTTTTTGGTGGCTAATCTAAGTATGTTGGGAGGGGCTCCGGATCTACGGGATGCAAAGGTGATAACCCATAATCCTTAAACACTTTCCCACCATATTACAACGTTTTATCGCAAAGAATGGATCGTACATATTCAAAAAGTCTTTACGAGACACATTTTCGAAGAGCAATAATAGCACAATCCAGTGGCTCGTGCTTCACTACATAGTATAAAACAAAGTCGTACCGTTGCCTGTCTGTCTATATGTATGCTTACATATTTAAAACTACGCAAAGGGTCTTGATGCGGTCTTTTTTACTAGATAGAATGATTCAAGAGGAAGGTTTATATGTATAATACATTGGGCGGGTCCGGTATAATACAGGCATTTATTCGAAATCTTACTCTCGTAACCCGGGTAATAGTTAACTAATTGCAATTGTGATTGCCGAGCTCGAAGATATTGCCCGTGGATCTTTCCGTCTAATTACAAACTGCCGGGCAACAGCAAACTGCACTGTGCTCGGAGCTACCAGGGAAATAACGTTGAGAGTATAGATCGGATTCAACAGTTTGAAGGATTTGGTTCGGCTGTGGGAGTTTTACGCACGAAATGAGACTCTTCTACGGATTTGCCACTTTTATTTTCAATTATTTTCTGTCTGTCCGGTGGCAATGCTGCTCGAAATGTAGGGGATTAAAATAATAATAATGAACGCGATAAATGTATGAAATTAGTTTCATTTGATAACCTGTAGTGTTTGTATGAATAATAAGTTATTACTATGAAATTGATCTTTAAAATTTCGTGTCTTATTCACTTTTTTTTCTAGCCCTGAATCTGCAGCTCGAGGTCTTTTGGACGCATACAAAAATGGTTCCAGCGGCAGTGTATGGTTAATAGCTGGCGACAAACCAAGCGTCGATGTGACGGACCTCCACAACAAAGGTTATGATTTGTACAACCATCTTGTATACAATTAAATCGTTGTAATTAAATCTTTAAGTGATGTAATTTGTCTTAGGTACTATCACTACATAGTATAAAACAAAGTCGCCCCGCTGTCTGTCTGTCCCTATGTATGCTTAGATCTTTAAAACTACGCAACAGATCTTGATGCGTTTTTTTACTAGATAGAGTGATTCAAGAGGAAGGTTTACAATATGTATAATACATTGCACCCGTGCGAAGCCGTGGTGGGTCGCTAGTAAGATATAAATTCACCCATCAAGTTTCGTTATCGTTATCGTATACCGGTTGATAACTAGAGTAATTCCTTAAGTTTACAAATAAGTTATTTTAACTTTGTTTATTTCATTTTACTCATGTATTTTATTTTAATTCTTATGATTAAAGTATAACGCCATACGAGAGTTTTCAATTAAAAACACGCTTAAATATATTTCCATCCTTTTACAACGCATTTCCTGTTACTTATGTGTCATCCAGTGTTAATCAATGAAAGTAATGATAAAACATATTTGCGTTATTTAGAAGCAACTGCTATCAACATATGGTGACGTAAATAATTTTATTACCTACTGATAAATATGATACTTAAATAGGGTAATATACTACATATACTTTTGCTTTTTCAGTCCCGGTTTCAGTTTGAAACCGTTTTCTTATACGAACAGAGTCTTTGCTAGGTCTACCCATATTTATAATACCTATGTATTAAAATGAAATCACTTAAAATAAAAAAAAATAAAAAGTACGTACCTGGTGTATGTAACTATTACAAATGCTTAAAGAAGTAATTATTCACAAACTTTCAAACAGAATTATTGTAAAGTTTGTGTACAATAATTTATGCTTAAACATTCGATTGCTCTAAAGATGTCTTTTATTAAATAATACTTCTTCAGGGATATGTATTTTAATGCCGTGTTAATTGGGGTATAGTGGGTTGGCAAGTGGCGGGTATCACCTAATTAACTTATAAATTAACTAAACCGGTTTTATGATAGAGGTTCCCAGGCGGCTTTTCTGCATTGTTTTAAATCAACTGCCCCCAATGTTTGTAAACCGCTCAATATAATATTTAATAAAAGCTTAAATGAAGGTATGTTTCCTGCGATGTGGAAGATGGCTAATATAACATCCATCCACAAAAGGGGATATTGAGCAATATCGCCCTATGTCAATTCTGTCAACTTTGTTAAACTCTTTGAAATGCTTGTACATAACGAAATAAATCCAGTGCTGCACAATATAATTATCCCAGAACAACACAGATTTTTTAAATGGCAATCCAATACCACAAATCTATTAATTTTCACTAATGACCTCTTTGTGAAAATATTGACAAACGTGTGCAAGTGGACGCTATTTATACAGATTTTCACTTAACCAGCATTGTTTCGAGTTTATTATCAATAATGTGTATAAAATGCATGGTTTTATAATGAAATCATCGACGGAGTTTAAGAGGCCACAAATATACCTTTATCTCTTTAAAACTTTTTTATTCTCTTATACGCTCCCAACTTGAATATAATGTACCAATTTGGAACCCTTTTGACTACAAGTATGTAAACGAGAAGGTCCAACGAAAGTTTCTTCGCTAAAATCAAATCAAATGAAATTAAATACCTTTATTCAATATAGAAGCATTAAACTTTCTTATTGATTGTCAAAACGCTACCACGCTCCACGCAATATAGATGTGAGAAATCCAATTTATCATGTTCACAATTATTAAACGACTATAAATTGCTCACTTGAAGCAAGACGCTTATTGTGCACAACAATTTTGAATGCATTAATTTAACAAACAAGATTTGCTATGTAGTTCCTCGTATTACCCATAAACGAACAGTTCGCTAGGGCACTCTCTTTGCCACCAACACTTGCCGAACAAATTCAGGACTACGATGTCCTATACAACGTATACTTAAAACCTATAACTCCAATTTTGTTGATATTGATATATTTGCACGCCCTAAATCTAAAAATAGTCTCCAAATTAAATAAGTTAAGCTTTACTTTTTAATAATTATGTATTTTTAAAGTTTCTTTTTTTTTCTTTGTGCTATATATTATTTGTATTTATTGTAACGTATCTAGTAGCTTCCATTAACATAATATCTTATAACTTTAAACGAGCAATTCTTGTATATATATATATATATATATATAGATATATATATATATATATATATATATATATATATATATATATATATATATAATCGGAATCTCGGAAACGGCTCCAGCGATTGTCATGAAATTTATTATGTGCGTAGATTCGGGGGCGAAAAATCGATCTGGCTAGGTTTCATTTTTAGAAAATGTCGTTTTATCCCAGTTTTCAGGGAATGAACAATATCATTCCAATACGACGGTAAATAAAAATAAATAGCCGGTAGATAAATTTCACCGAAAAAAAAAATTTTATAATAGCTCGGTCGGCAATCGGGCGGCCCCGAAACAAAAGGCCGTGGTTCGTGTCACGATCATTTACATACATTTTTTTTACTTTTTTTTCGATTCGTGATCATTGCTTTCTTTATTTTTATTTTTCGTTATTTTGTTATTTTTTCCATTTTTTTAAAGTTCTTTTTATTACGTCGGTAAGATCGAAAAATATTATGCATATTTCATTACTCAGTAATTTGCATCTAAATGTAATATCCAAAATACACAATTTACAAAAAAAAACCAAACCGAGTAAAGCTCGGTCCTCCAGGTACTTATGTTTAATACGTGGATAATGTAGTTAGATATTTGAAACCATTTGTTTCTTTACCATTATTGTGTCATTGGCGATATCTAAGGACCGCCAACTGCCTTAGAAGAAGAAAAAGATGATCGACTCTTCGTACTATTTGCTTTAGAATATTATTATTATTACACAATGATATCAATGTGAAAAGTTGATGAAGGACCTTCGCCATTTGTGAGAGATCCGTGGGTAAACGACACGTGCCATCAGGAGAAGTAATTATATTGAGTGAAAATTATCCAGAGGAAGTAATAAGGTACAGAACATAGATAATACGTTCACTCAACGTATTATCTATGTTCTGTACAAAATTTTGGTGCTAATTATTATTCCAAATAATGTTTATCAGAACAATGTAGTAATTTATTAATTATGTGCATAATTATATATTTTACATCACATTCTTTAGTTTTTACTTAAACACAAAATAATAAAAAGAAAATAATCATATTGACTTCTTGGAAAATAATCATTTTTACCGACTGCGGCGATACCAAAAAGGAGTGTTTGACTTTAAAATCCGTACGTCCGTCTCTCGCCTGGTTTCTGAAACACTGAATCATTCTGATCATTAAGAAGATAATTCTGATCATTTCAGAGAGTTTACCATCCTTTTGTGAAATGAAATGTGAAAAGCCATTATATCAAGAGATAAGAAATCAAATATTTATTTTTAAAATAATTAAAAATGTTATTGTATCTACTTTCAAATACAACATTTTTCGTACATTTGGTAAGTCTACTACTTACTCCAAAATAGATTTTATACCGTAAGGGTTTGTTGTGATTATAACAGAAATTGTGATCAATCCGACATTTTTGAAGCTACTTTAAGATGTTTTGCCGCATTAAACATGTCAATAAATAATTAATCCTGAAAAGAGATTATTCTTGAAAATTCAGTTTAAAATTTGGTTTTAAATTTTTTTACTGTTTTTATCCTGTCCATACAGTAAAAATTCCTTAATATACAGGTTGGGTTTTCAAAAGTATCGGTAGTATAATTGTTTATTGAAATAACAACAAACTTTTCTTTTTCAAAAAAATTGCAATTTTATTCCCTAAAAAAGCGAACTTGTTTGCCAATGCGGTAGTCATTCATAAACGCGTCGGATACTTTTGAAACAAACTTATGTTCGTGTTAGTTATGAATGATCGCGCGTAAAATAAATGAGTTGCCCATAAATCACGCACTTTCTGGGATAAGTTTAAATGAATGTAATTAGAAATTTAAAGTATTTTATAGTGCTAATCTCTGCACTTAAGATTAAACATTTTCTACATGTTTTAATGAATGTAATTAATTAATTACGAGTGATTTTAAATATATATCATTTCATACAGAACATTATTTATGTCTCTAGAATTTAATAAAAAATGGATACACTAGAAAAACCTCCCTGTATATAAGTGTTATAATTGTATACACTTCAGATGTTGGTGATAAAACCTTTAATGGCACACACGTAAGCGTGTGTCAATATAAATTAATTTATTTAAGTAATGTATGTTTTCCAAACCAATAATTTTTCTTTCGCCGAACACCGGCTAGTGCTTGAGTATTACCTGATGGTAAGTACGGCGTAATGTTCGATGGTAAAAGCACTAGCTCAGTAACAAGCTATTCACTATTACCTAGATGACCATCATTATCGGACGGGAAAAGTGACGCAAAACTGTTCCACTTCTTTGCTGTACGCATTACGAAAGCGGAGGCTCTTCGTTACGTACGAAGAGCCTCCGCTTTCGTGGAATGTCAACGACAAAAGGTTGGAGTCCTGAAAAGCGTCTAGTTGTCCGATGATGGAATGGGGAGGGTGGAATTAAATTATGAATTGCATAATTTAATTCCACCCTCCCCTGGGCATAGTGTCCGAAACGCAACCTATAAAACACCGAGAGGGTGGCTATTCTGCGCCTGTGCTCGAGACTGGGCAGATTAGATCCAACCACGCCAAGTCCAATAAGTCGCCTTACACTCAAGGAGAATGACTTCCGTGTCGCATTTAAGGAAGTAACCGACCAGTTCCACCGGCTTGATGAAGTTATAAACAACGCAGTGATCTTGAGCGTCCATGACAGTTTACTGCCCGTCACCGGTCATTGCACTACGGCCGTCGTTCATGTCATCTACAACAACCCCGCCTTCTGCGAGTGTAGTTAACCCTGCTGAACCATCCCTCGCATTGACCACTCCAGCTGAGACTTCCGCGCATGCCGGTTAGGCCTCTTTTTAAGGCGATACCTCACCTC